CTGAGATCTCTGTCCAGAAGAGTGCAGTCCTAGGAACAGCTAAGATACTGAGCAGGACCCTCAAGCTCCCAGGCCTCTGGTAGAGGACTTGAAGGAACGAATACAAGACCGCCCCAAAGTGGGGGGCGAGTGGGGAATTTTACATATACTGTATTTTTGTTTTCTGTCTGCAAATGTACTGTCAACCTTTGAATAAAGGCAAGAAATGCCAAAACATTTACTGTCTTAAACACAAATCATAACTGTAAATGAAATCTATTAAGTGTTGCATAGTGCATAGATTGCATAGTGTTGAATGAGGTTGAAACAGAATACTAGCAATAGCAGTGATGTAATTAGTAAGAAGCAGCAAATATATTGCATTCATTACCTTTAATGTACATGGATCCCAAAGTCATTAACAAACTGCAGACTCAGCAAGTCTGTTTCATGGTTTGTTTGCATACTCAGAATGCAGAAGCACTTAAGGCTGTGATCATCGTAACTTAACAGTACATCACATGACCACATATATACAGATCAACCTTATGACCACCTGCCTAATACTGTGTACACAGGAGCCAGTGCAGCAGCTGCAGCTCACTGTGCATCTTCTGTGAATCTGTTTGCTTCCATAGTTCTACTGTCAGGAAGAGCACGAATGTGTCGACCAGTCAGGGAAAAACTTAGGTAAAAGGAGTGAAAACAATGGTGGTGAGGACAAGTTAGAGATGCTGTTTTATACAAATTCACTCTAGGTGTGATATCACCACTATAGCTGCTGAATGTTTCTCTTCATAGAGACCAGTGTACAGTATTTCTCATTTTCAACCACTTTAACAAAGATTCAGACAAGATGGAATCTTTTGAAGAAGGATGAATGAAATTTAAAAGTTTAATCTACAGTAGATCAACCTCATCATCAGTGAGCCTTGGGCGTCCATGACCCTGTCACAGGTTCACTGTCTGTCCTTCCTTAGAAACTGTTGGTTGGTACTAACCACTGCAGACTGGTAACACCCAACAAGACCTGCAGACTGGGAGACGCTCCGACCCAGTCGTCAGCCATCACAGTTTGGCCCTTAGCAGAGTCGCTCAGATCCTTATCACTTGCCTGTTTTTCCTGCTTTCAACACATCAACTTCGAGGACTGAATGTTCACTTGCTGCCTAATGTACCTCACACACTGACAGGTGCCACGGTAACAAGATAATCAGTGTTATTCACTTCACCTGTCAGTGGTCATAATGTTTATGGCTGATCAATGTAAGTGATAGTTTTGCAAAGGGACTTACCTACAGATAATTATCACCAACTTAATTCCCACCAGATCTACAGAGCATTACAACATTTCTGGCCTGTCGCAACGTAGAAGTCTAGCTGCTGAATATAGTGAAGCATTGCAGCTAACGAGGTCTAAGTTCATAAAAGTAATGTCGGAGCGACCACTTTCCTATTTGGACATTTGACAGAAACACAACAACAAGGCCCACTTTCTTTTATAGTCTTCTGTCCCACCACCTGACTGTACCTCCATGTCCAGTATTTACTGGCATTATCTCAAGTTTCGTCTGTCTTCTGAGAAAATGTTTTTCATTCACCACTTGTTCACTTTGTCTCTTGGCCATTTCATGCAGGATTTTTAATTGCCTTGGCAGTGCCCGTATCATTTGATCATCCATAATGTTCAAAATACATGTTATATAACGCAGGTCTGAACATAGCCCATATATTAGGTGATTTCTAGATTTTTATTTGAAAATTTGATGCTGCTTGTGCTCAATAGTCATTCACAAAGGAACCCTTTCCATAAAGGTGGCAATGACAACAGTCTCCAACAGGAGCCTCGGTTCCCTGAGCAGGCTGACTGTATCTTCAAGATAACATACAGTCACAACCCTTAGTTTGTCTCGACCACAACATCCTGCTCTCTTCATATTGCTTTTGTTTTTTCCTGCTACCGTTATTGAGTGTAACAAGCTCAGGCCATTTACTGACTCAAAAGGTATTTTTGTGAAATGTGGGAAATCAATAGATAAAGCGTGTCTGGGAAGGTTTATCTCAGTCATGCGAGTGGATTCAGCCTTTTCCAGTAAAGTCGATGAGGCAGGTGGAGGGGAAAATAAGGCATAAATTTCAACACCAAATAACGGAAAAAAACTTTATAGAAAGTTGATTTAACAGCAAGAGTATCTTAGGGGGAAATTGTTTAATCTATATACAGTATGTGTGTGTGTGTGTGTGTGTGTTGTACATGTGAACTTTTTCTATAATAGCCTTTGTCTGCTGCCTTTCAGCGACTCACACTGCTGCATGTGAACAGCAACCAGTGCTTGGACATGCCGTCTGAGGAGGACAAGATGGTCCCCATCCTGAGAGACTGCAACGGCAGCCGTTCTCAGCAGTGGCTGCTCCGTAACATGACCCTGAGCGTCTGATCCCTCACATCACTACTCATCTGACTACTTTGTCCTCATCTGAACCAGCCCTATCTTCCATTATGGAGGCTTCCTCCTCTTACAGCTTTGCTACAGGTCTGAGAGAAGCCTGTGCCTGCCGTTTAGGTAATATGACCAGCTGTAGCTTTGAGGACCTTGTCATGTCCAAGCAAGGGAGAGCGATGTGTGAGGCCTGTGCATGGAGGAATACTGATGTCGAAGCACTCGCACCGTGTCAGGCGCCTGTTAGCTGTGCATTCACTGTGCTGTTCGGACTGCTGCTTAGCCGCTGGACAAACAATTAAACAGAAGAGCATCAACAATAATGTTGTAATGTCTGTGATGGTTGGCTCTGTAATGATTGTCTTTATCCATGTAGTACATAGGTGTCTACTGTAGGTACAATCTGAACACAAGACTGTTATGACAGTTTGCTGCTCATCCTACTTTCATATCAGCATCTGAGTTTCATTTATACAAGAGGAAAGTGACATTAATAGAGACTAGATACCAACCATTATATTTGAAAGTTAAAAGAAAATAACCATACTGTCTATATACTGGTACCTGTTTTAAAGTTGGGCTGAAATTCCAAAAGGTTCTCATCACCTTTGGTGTAAGGATACTGCAGCTAAGTTTTACTGTTTCTTATTGCACTTGAAAAACTTAAGTGAACAAGTCAGGCTAACAAATTTCCATCCAATCAGAAAGTGTAAGCTACTTAACTTAGCTTGTTACTGTTGGCACCGATTCCCACTAGATGTTCTGTCTGTTCATGTGATTTGAGTCATAGCTCTGAAATGCATTCGGAATAACATAACAATTAATATGCATATACTGTATAAAGACAAATGGATGATATGACAGCTCCCAAACGTGAAGTCACTGCAAGTTAATCACCCCCCCCCCGGTGGGTGGTTGCAGTATAGGTCATAAACCCTGCCCCTTCCATGTTAGCAGATGGGGCATGAGCCAAATCAGGTTTTTTCTTTTTTTTCTTGAAGGTGATTTCTGCTTTATTTTATCTTTAAATAAGTTGTTTGATAAAATCATAAGTGGTGTATTTCTGATTTGATTTGTGACCTGATACCACGGCTACACCTCTGGTTGCTATGGTACAGAATGTCACAAAAGCAAGAAGGCCTCCCGCTGGCTCAGTATTTGAAGCCATCATCTACAGAAAATGAACACAAAACAAGTGCAGCTACATCATTCACAATGTTAAACAAAAACAATTTGAGTATTCGCAATGTTCCATGTTAGTGAATCAGGAAATCCACTGCGTACGGGACCGATTCAGCTTAGTTCAGTGCAGGACGTATGTAGAGAGGTTTATTCTAACAGGCTGTTTGAAGAAATGAAAAAGTGTCTGTGGGACAGGAAGTAGCAAATCAACAAGACTCTATGTAGATGCGATAAGTTTTGAGTTTTCCCTAAATGTTAACAACTGTTTACTGAATTAATCCAGCTGCACTGTGTTATCACAGCTATCGGAGGGTATCAATATTAAAACCACATATCACTTACAGGAAGACTTTGCACAGTTCTTCTTAGTATTCTGGGAAATCATGATGTCTGGGAGCTAAACAGCTGGATGTGCCTTTAGAAGGTTATTCAGTTTATTAGTTTTTAGGTTGAGTTGCTTTACTGTTGAAAAAACAATATTAAGTCTGTTTTCATTTGAGTTAAAATGATGTCACATCTCAAGAATTTATCGGCATCATATTAATGCTTGATCACACATTTAGTTATCCATTAATTAATAGTTGAGCAGGTCAGTGTTCAGTACATCAGCCACTCACCCATCACCCAAACAAATGACAGGTACTTTTTCACTACATCACTGTGTTTTCAGGCAACAAATGTTATTGCACATAATGCTGTTAACATGTTTCTCTCACTACTATCGTTGTACATACAGAATCAATTATTTTTCTAAGATGCTCTAAAACTTTAACACTCCTCAGAGAAATAAGGCATTGAATGGTAAAAAGATCACGAAGTATTGCAGCATTTTATTTGGAATCAAGGTGATAAAACCAGTGTTTGCTTTAGGTTTTGAAATTGCAGTGTGTTTTGGAAATCGTTAGTCCTCTGAAGCCAATTCTCACACTACCTAAAGGACCTTAGGCTAGCTTACATGAGGGGGGCAACTAATGATGCTTGAACACCGAATACTTGCCAAGTGCCTACTTGGAATTCAGACTAAAATTCAATCATCTCTTTCATTTTGCACACACATTTATTGTTTTTCATTATCTTAAAGTGCATGGTGTTAAAATAGGAATGTAATGTTTCAATGTACTGGTTGCAAAGTGATGTTGCCTGTTTGTACATTTTGTAGAAACAAGAATAAAACCGACTGAACAAAGAATTAGCATTAATTTCAGTGTCAAGCAAAATGAACACATCACATCAGCGCATCAGTTGTTGAATAAACCTTGTTCTTGAAGCTTTCAAGATGCCTGTACGTCTCATTACCAGATTTTTAAATGTGATAAATAGCAACCCTTCCCTGATGGTGATTGTTAGAGGACACGTACAACAGAATGCCATAAGAAACAGTAATGCTAATGTTCATAATGCTACCTGGAGCCAATCCCAGCTGACATTGGGTGAGAGGCAGGGTACACCCTGGACAGGTTGCCAGTCTGTCACAGAGCTGACACGTAGAGGCAGGCATAGCATAAAATTATTTGGTCTTTTTATCTTTCCAAACAAAGTCGAAAGCTGTTCTGATTTGCTTTTTGGCACATCTTCATAAATGGAATGAAAGCAGTTTGCATTCACCAGTACACAGGGAAAGGTACTCCCTTCTTAATAACTCACACTCCTGCTGCATACATAATCTTCTTCATTTAGGCTTTTTAGTAAATATTTGTAAGCCTCTCCAAGGTAGCCACTGCAGAGGTATTAATAGCTGCTCGTGTGGAGCTGACAACACATCAGCGCCTACGTGCAATCTAAGTAAGGGCCCTGTGGGTAGCTGTGGTTACAGACAATCTCACACCTGTGGGAAGCCAAACCCAGGCTGGTCAAGTGGACATGTGAGGATAAGATAGTGGGTCTGTGGTCGGGCCAAGGGAGTCCATTAAGGGGTGAGATGCTTTAAAATAAGAGCCCTAATGGAGGCCTTATCTATAGCTCTCTGTGGCTCGCTGTGGCTGTCGGAGGTAGAACATAATCAGACCTTCTCACTGTAGAACTTTTATGCTGTAGTTCACAACTATATAAAGTATGGACCCATTTAATCTCAGAAAATATTTTACTCTCACTGCCTGGAACTGTCTCACTCCCCCCGTGTCCTCAGTTAAGCCCTTCTATTCCCTAATTTTTTTAAATTTTAATATTTATCTTCAAAATGTTAATTTGTTTACAATATAGCACGGATGTCATTTTCTTGTTTGACCTCATTTTGAAGCAATGCATTAAAAAGCAGTAGGGCTTATGATGGAGCAATTAGTGATGGAAGTACTCACCACCAAATACCAGTAAAACTATGGGAAAACCACACCTGTCAGATAAATGTAATGTAGAGACTACAATAATTTCCCCTGAAAAGCAGTGGAGGATAATGTCAGTATAAAATAACAAAAAAAAAAACAACCTCAAGTAAAGTACTTGTACCTCAACTTGTACTTAAAGCTATAGTTGTGCTTCCTGGAAAGACTAGCAAGAGGAAGCTTGATTTTGAAAGTAGCCAATGAAATCCTCCACTTTCATTCTGATTTCTTTCCAAGGCCACTCCTCCAAAACACAACGCACACTGCAGCGTGCACTGCCTGACCCTTTACAGATATCAGGAAAATAACAAATGCCCCTCAAACAAAAACCAAACCAAACAAACAAATGTTATTTATCTGTCCAGCAGAAATACGGCCACCATGGCGTCACTTTTCAGCCCTTTGTTCTTTCAATTGCTTCCATCATTCAACAGCCACACCAGTGTTCATTCTGGTTTCACTTCTTGCAGCATCCAACTTCTATTTTAGTTGTAGCTTTTTCAAATATGGTCCTGGGTACCTCCTCTGCCATAGCTCGCTAGCTTTAACAGAGCAGTAACACGTCAGCCTGCCTGGCCTTGTGGGAGACTCTTGGCTCATGCAGTGAGTGTAAGGGCAGAGTGTGCGCAAGTAGGAAGTAGGTTGACAGGCAGGTAGGCCATTAAATGGTTTTGCTCAGACTGAGTAAAATTAATGGTAAGGCTTTTTTCAGCCCTGGTGCTGCCACAGAGGAAAGATTTTCTCTTTATGTTGTCAGTGCATTTAATGTATTCATTGCCATCTGAGTGAAAAAATAAATTCAGGATATGTAACAAAAAAATGCTTCTGAAATGAATTGTCAACACAACCTTTGACAGCACTTCGGTAAATGCCACTTTCCACCACTGACAGAAATATGCACATCATCGGTGCATCTGGTTCACTGCAGGAAAGCAACTGTTTGTGATGTTGGAAGGGTCTGATAACATAAACTCCAAAGATGAAGATAAGTCGCAAGTAGCTGATGATACAAGTGATCATTTACAAGCACATTTGGGGCATGAGTACTACACCGCTGGCTCAGAGTTCACTGGTACAGTGGACACAGAGCAGGCAGTGCAATGACCTCAAGACGACAACTGTGATGACAAATTTGTAACCTACAGTATGTACAGTACATAAACATGTAACACAATAGATTACATAAAAACATATATCAATATAAAATATTTTTGGCCTTATATGTTTTTTGGTTTGAATCTGATGTGCAAGTATGTATACAATATGGAGGAATGCTGGAGAAAACACTCGTATATTAAAGCGTAAAGAGCTTGATGAGAAAAGCGTTTTTTATCGGCTGATTGTTGCAAAGAAAAGCTCATTTCACCTTTTTCTCTGGTGCTGTTATCCAGAGCAGCCTTCAAGGACACGGCATCAGGAATTGAACCTCCTACTCTCTGGTTATGTGATTGTCTCTCTAACCTGTTTCCATTAGACCATCACGACAAGAAGCTCTCAACCTTGTCAACCCTCATCTTCAAATATGATGCAGTGCATTTCCTGTCCTATTTCTCCAAGTCTCTCTGGTGTGTTTGATTGAACGCTGGTCTGCCTCCCATCCAGCTCAATATACGGGGTTCCATCAAGTAAGTGAATTCTGTCACAGGCAGAGCGGGGGAACGAGGGGGATCATCACCTCTGTGGATGTGCCTTTACTTATCACCGGAGAGCGCAGGAGAAATCCTGCACTTAATTGTTGAGGGGACTTGAAGTTCCAAAGCACCTGTATTGAAAAGCAGCTTTAATTAGACAATGTTTGAGGCCAGCATCTCAGTGGAGGTCAGATCCATTGCCATACACACACACACACACAAGCACACACACCCTCAGATAAACATACAATATCTGTCCTTTAATGTGCAGCGCCAGCCCAGGGATTCAACAGAGACATTTCTGATGTATGTTTGCAATCTCTTGAGCATTTTTTTTATTGATTTGCAAGGAGGAAGTGGCTCTAACAAGCTTCTCCTATGTGATAATCTTCTTTTTGTGATGAAAGCAGTGATTAGGAGTAGGGGCCCTGCTGCTTTCTGCAGTAATTGTGTAGTAATCAATCATCAATCTCCAGGAGCTGTTCCACAAAACACTTCTGTTCGGATGCTATTTTTGACCACAGAGCCAACTAATAAGGTCTTGCTCCAGCTGGAGAAAAAAACAACAGAATTTACTGTACCAGAAGAGAATTTCCATTTGCTTCATAAGTATAGCTTTTAAGAATTGTGTATATATATAATAGTTCCTCATCTATATGACTAAGGGTTATTGTCCTCATTTATCAGATGTTACTTTGCTTCCACTGAGGGTTCAGTTTGTGTCTCGTGTGTTGTTTCTTTCACCGTCACTCATAAAGAGCCATAACGTCCTTTGATTAGCACATGATGTCGACAATTTCAGGTCCCTTGAAAGCGCCTTGACCCAGTTGCCGGACCCACCGGTTTAGAGCTCTGCTCATTCACCGCATGGTTTCACATTACATGCCAAGCATGGAAGAGAGCCTATTAGTGTTTCAGCATCCAGTGAGCATCCTTCAGATCCTGTTAAACCCTAATCTCTACAGTGGGAAAAATCATGGCGCACAGTTTTCACAAGCGGCAGCGTGCTTGTTTCACATTCAAAGATCAATATTGCAGCAGCAAAATAAGATTACAGAGAATTTTTAGTGAGGAGGTCTCAAATTTGTAGAGGGGAAATAGGGGAGTGAACACGACAAAGCCAACATCAAAGCAGAGACGGCTCTCCCTGCTTTGTCTCTGATTGTAGAGATTATAAAGGAAGATGGAGCATTAGAGAAGATCGTTCGAAGTGATTGGCTGATCTTCTCAGACGATGACCTTAAGTGCTATCCTAACTGATTCAGAGAGGATGACAAATGCATCTCTGTCCTACATTGGTCTGATTAGATTAATAAGTCAATCCCATCTCCACCCGCCCGTTGGGTTTCTCTGAGCTATTTTTATGAAATGGGTTACACAGGATCATCACAGTCGTTCTGATCATTGACTAACTGAAGTTAGTCGACATATACACCACACTGGTCAGTGATGGTGATGGAACATGGCGTTTTGTTATGGAAAACCCATTTCACTTAATAAGTGCAGCTTTTCCAAATCCACCTGTTATTAGATAAGAACTAATCTACATATATTCCAATTTGGAGCATGGTGTTACATGTCAGCTGCCTCCTGTCGTGTGACGGGAACAAGCCAGGTCTTTAACCTCTTCCTTGTAAAGTGACAAAGTTGAGCAGAGTTAAATAAGTGTTTCTGTGAGCTTGGAAATGTTTGAACGATAGATCAGGTAAGAGTTTCTATAAGCTTTGCTATAGCTGATCATTATTATTAATGGTGTTTGTATTGCACCACATTCTACACTGTTCAATTGTCTCTCTGGCTGTGACTGATCTCGTGGAAATGGGAGCCTGTGATTGGAAACATGAACATGTCTAATTTTGAGAAGATACCTAAACGTCACCTTGCAATAATTCATCTCCCAGTGAACTTTTTGTTATAGGATCCTAAACTTGTTTTCTGCCAAATTTGAATGGTTTTAGTTATTCAACATAAGAGATGTCTGTTTTTCTCTGAGCTCTGGTTTGATGTTCACAACATTTGAATCAGAGTCTGGTGACAGTCGGTGGGCTGTTTATTCACTGTCAATCAAACCCCATCAAACCACATCTATGCAAAATCCTCATGAAGCAGAACAGATAAGCTTTTGACTGTTAATTGTTAATAAATAACACCTTAAGATTTTGCCATGAGTCATCCACTCATAGGAAGAGGACTGGAGCTTTATCTAGATGTACATGCAGTAAAGACACTTTGACAGAAGT